GATTTCCCATTGCGATTATAACATTTCTGTATGAAGCATTAGGATTAATATTTTGTCATGAAATATTTAAATATCACTAACAAGGTAATATATTTCACTTACGACGATTCTAACCCACTATTCCATAAATATTCACAAATTGCAGCTTCGTAATATTTCCCATTGCGATTATAAATTTCTGTATGAAGCATTAGGATTAATTTTTGTCATGAAATATTTAAATATCACTAACAAAGTAATATATTTCACTTACGACGATTCTAACCCACTATTCCATAAATATTCACAAATTGCAGCTTCGTAATCACCAATTTTGCTTGGAATTTCCGCTTTTCAACCTACAATTTTGTAAACAAATTTTTGTCACAACAACATAATAAAAATAAAATTAAGTTTTCTTTTATTCAGCTTACATTCTGTTTCTTCTTCTTGGGTGCAGGACATTCTGAATCCAAATCTGCATCTATAACACTCTCTGGTGTATAGATCACATCGACATCCTTTCTTCTCACTTCCTCCATCTTTTCTTCTTCCTCCATCTTTCCTTCTTCCTCTATCTTTTCTTCTTCATATTTTTTCAATTCATCATATTTTTCCTCTACATAACTCTTCATCATTTTTATTTCACCCTTCATTTTTCCCCTTCATCCAAGTTTTTCTCAACCACTCCCTTCACCCCCGTAAGTTCACCCCTCAAATCCACATCTTCCTTCACCACTCCATCAAATATTCCACCCATCACCATCTTAACTTCACCCCTCAACTACATAACTTCTTTCACCACTCCATCTATTCTTCCACCCACTTCCCCCTTAAGCCTCTCCATTGTCTCTTCGACTCTTGATTGTCTTTGCGAAATATAAAAAAGGAATTTTTTACATCCGCCAATTCAGACATCAAAATGTCGAATTTACTCTGTTTTCCCTCACCGTCATCCCTCTAACCATCATCCCTTACTACCATCTCTTCTTCTTTCTTCTCTTCCTCCATAGCTTCCACTGCCTCCACTACATCCACTGCCTCCACTTCCTCCTCTGCCGCCTTGCCAATAACCTTCAAAATTAAATTACAATATTAATACATTGATTATATTCTTACTATTATTTAATTACATTTATTACCCTTTCTTGCTTCCTCGGTCTATCCAACTTCAACTTCACCATCACTCTAACCACCTCTTCTTTCCCCCATGAACGAATGCATACTACTCTGTTTTTTTCATATGCCGGCACACTATTACAGCCCGACCAAAAATCGAACAGTGCAACCTGTATTTATAATAAAATTTATCATTTTATATAATAACTATACTAACATTTTATTTAAAAAACAAAAACGGTATTCAACTCATTTACCTCTAAGATTGCGATGCACTCTTTGAGGTATCTATGGCTGCCCTTTTGAAAGCTGATTATTGATTCAATCAATCTCGAATGGACATATTCAGCCCAATTGAATTCATCATTCAAGCCTTCATCGCAAATCAACTTCATATTGTCCTTGTTCGTTAACGTATCACCCGTTGGACAAAGAAAGATCCCGATAAGGTACAATAGAACTCGAGCCTTCAGGTCATCCCCCTTAAGATCCATTTTTGATTTCCTCTTTAAGTTCAGCATATGTCAGCTTGTGCTTCAAATCATATTTAGAGGCAAGTGTTTTTCATTTCTTACACTTAGTGACTTCTACAACACTTTTACCTTTATTTTCTACCTGCAAGATGGCTGCAGCACATAGGACCCCCAGAGAAAATTAATAATCACCATATTTAGCAATACATTGTTGGACATCGAATTGCTTCATCAAGGATCGACACAATTCCCTCCGAATAGGTTGATCCCTTATTCCTATCAACGATCCAAACCCTATTTCTTCTAGCACATTCAATTGCTCCTTCTCCTTAAGGTGTTCAATTAATGAATTCACTCTTTTTATGCTGCACCTTGTCGACACTTCCTACATTTTTTAACAATATATAATCTTATTGTTCTTATATAACTTGTATCAAAGTATTTACAAGTTTAATGAATACCTTCTTTTCATGTGCTTTCCTCTAAGCTTTGTATTCTTCATTATCAATCTTTGACTGTGTGATGTAAGGTTCCTTCTCAGCATCACTCATCGACTTTCATTTCTCCAACACATCATTTTTCACTTAATATTAAGCATAAACGTTTCTTAATCAATACATTAACGCTAAATAATACTCAATGTCAATTTGATTTTACATACCGAACTGATGTGATTGCTAGCTTCCTTCATCCTTTGGCATTCGGTCATACTATCAACATTTAAAATTTTGTTATCAATTTAAAGTTCTTAAATACTTTAATCCAATTACTATTTCAACAATAATAACAAAAAGACATTGATACTTACTAGAAGTACATATATCCACCCTTTGGTTGCTTTCTACTTTCAGCCTCAATTTCAAAGTCATCTTCGCCACCAACATTTTCAAGATCTGTTGACTTCATTTTTCCTTCATATATCAGTTTACGCAGATCAAAATCAAATACTGGTTACATATACTTTATTCAATATGAAAATATCGATAACTACTCTTGTAGTAAAACGGTTACCTTCAATAGAATTTGAATGGCCACTACTATAAGTATCGGCACATTTATACAACCTACAATATCATTTTCTACCTATAATATTACATACAGGTATCAATATTTATTTTCTACTTATAATATTATACAATCTGTCCCAAATCCTTCTTGGCTTCGACATGAAATTCCCAAACCAAACCCAAAAACCCTAATCTCTATTTCCTTCAAACGAATAGGAACACTCAATACTCCAAGTATCGATACATTTATACAACCTATAATATCGTTTTCTACCAATAATATTTAATAAAAGTATCGATATTTATCATCTACCTAGAATATCACTTTCTACCTGTAATCGGTCTCAAATGCTTCTTTGCATTCAAAACCCCAAACAACACATAATACCCATATTTTCGATTACTGTAATAATAAAAAACTAGGGTTTCGACAACATACTTTTCGATTTGACTGCAGCAGCAAACAAACAAACTTCCCTTTAAAAATGCCTTCTGAAATGCAGCAACAACTACGCTTCGATTTCTCAAAAACTCGGTCGTGTTCTATCTATTTTCAAAGGAAATTTAGCTATGCCCTTTATATTTTAACCTAATATGTTATTTATATTTAATCGATACAACTACCAAAGTGTCGATACTTTTATGTCAGGTGTCGATACTTTTGATAGGATATTTACCTATTTCTTTAAATAGTATCGATAATATTTTACGCTTATTTATTAAAGTATCGACACTTTCAACATATTCGGTAGCGCTTTACCGGTTTGTCATTTCGAGACCTGTTTTGTCATATTTTTACCTGTTATGTTGTTATGGATCGATACATTTTTATAAAGTATCAGCACTATTATTGCTTATCTTTTAAATTCTAAAAGTGTCAATACTTATATTAAATTATCGACACTTTCAACATATCCGGTAGCGCTTTACCGGTTTTGTCATTTTGAGACCGGTTTTGTCATATTTTTACCTTTTATATTGTTATGGACCAATACATTTTTATAAAATATCGACACTTTATAGGCACTATTACTGCTTCTCTTTTAAATTCCAAAAGTGTCGATACTTATAGCAAAGTATCAACACTTTCAACATATCCGGTAGCTCTTTATCGGTTTTGTCATTTTGAGACTGGTTTGATCATATTTTTACCTGTTATACTGTTATGGATCGATACAATTTTATAGAGTATCGACACTTTATAGGCGCTATTACTGCTTCTCTTTTAAATTCCAAAAGTGTCGATACTTATTTCAATAGAATCGATACTTTCAACATATTAGGTAGCGCTTTACCGGTTTTTTCATAATGAAACCGGTTTGATCATATTTTTACCTGTTATACTGTTATAGATCGATATATTTTTATTTGTATCGATACATACCGACAAACTAAGTTTGTCGGTTGCCAAATTTTTTAATATTTCTTCATGATTTCCACTTACAACATTATTATTACTCAACATTTCTAATAACGCTAAACCGAATTTATTAAATATCTTTTATTGTATCCGATAACGCCATATATTAACCGTATTTTAATTCGCATTTCCTGATACAACCCCTACCAACTCAGATAATGGAGATAAATGGGAAGCTGTTTTCTCGACTAAGTGAGAGCAACTTTTCACAAGGAAGGTTTCTGCTCAGTCTACAGAATAATGGATTGTCCTCAGTGCTGTAAATTTTCCTACTAATTTGGTTTATGGTGGACCGTACTATGGTACCAGTACGAATGATCCTGCAAATGGCAGGCCAACTTGTACATGTTTACCAGGAATCTCTTTACTCAATCCAGATGATAAGTACGATAGCTGCAAACAGGACGTTGAATTAAGCTACCGAGATGATGGAGGAGCAGCTGAGGACGACCTGTATGATTTTAAAGTGCTAATATTGGCCAAGATCCGACTACGAGCAGTTCCAACCTTATAACGAACAGGACTGCCAAACATCTTGTTTGGAAGATTTTAAAAATTATAATTTTTACTAACGTTCAGGGCAAGAAGAGGGTTGGGGAAGAAAATATATAAAAATGGTAAATTAGAACCTTGTCCTTAATTTATTTTGAATTTATAAAATGCTACCTAATTAGTAGTTTATCTAAAATTGAAGGGTTAAAGTAAAAATTAAACCCTTTTATTAATATATTATATCATCAAACTAACAGAAATCAATATTTAAGTGACCACGTCTTAATTAAAATAAAATAAAAATGACTGCTAATTATATTTTTTTAAAATTCAGTGACTAGACGTTATAAAACTGAAATAAAGTGAAAAACTCTTTAGTTTACCCCTATTCTTTTTATCACTGTTATTTTACACTTTCATCCGACCTAATTTCACCCCTCGTCTAAATCGAGCTAATAGCGTTCACCTATCCCCTTGATCCAGCCATCCATGTAGATCTTCTGCCTGCCTCTCCTTCGATTTCAAGTCCTCGTCCCCGAGCCCGTAGCGAACGTAATCTCATTCTACTAATCAAACTCCCCCCCCCCCGCGGGTATCCGCAAGGTAAAGTTAATATGCCATCCTCCGATGTTTTTCGCGAGCACGGGAGGTGTTTGTGCAAATGCCTCAACCAAACTTGCTGTCTTCTACCAGGGAATTCCACCGACGAAACGCCCGGATCCAGCACCACTCAGTTCTCGCCTACCTTAAATCTCAGTCACGAGTACACACTTGCTTTGCAGAGAACTTCTTACAATGAGATACGCTCCATTATTGAAGCTCAAATGCAAGCTGATAATGTGATTGAAATCGAGGGTACAGATACCCATAAATTGCGTTTTTCGCCTGTTTTGCGTCCCAGCAGAGATTCCGTCAACCAAGCTCTTCGCCACATCAATCCCGATTCTACACTGACTCGCTTGGTTTCTACATACTTTGAGCACGGCGAAAGTATTACCACTCTTTGCCTCATGCTCCTCCAATGCGTGTCTCGTGCTCGTGCCCTGTATGCTCCCGTTTCTGACCTTCTTCACGAGTTCCCTTCTGACCTAAGCTCTATCCGTCTCTCGCACTGTAACTCTGCCCTGGGTGTTTTTGTCCGATTCGATAGCCTCGACAACCCTTTTCCATCTCCTGATTCCCATAACTTCAACGAAATACACCGCGGTTTCTGCCAGCTCAATGAGCAGCTTGATCACCACCGCAACAAATATCTTTCTAGACTCCGCTTATTGAACAGTGCAACTACTGGCTCTGCAATTTGCCTAATTGGCAGTGTTATTGGAGTTGTCATTTCAGCTGTTGTTATCTCCACTCATGCCCTTGCTGCCATTGTAGGCCTTGTCGCTACTCCTTTTTGTCCCTGTGGTGTTCCAAGTTCTCTCAAGAAGAAACAGCTTGCTCATATGGCTCAACTGTATGGTGCTACCGGAAGTGGAACCTTTTTCCATATCAATTATCTTGAGTCTATTGTCTGCCTGGTTGATTTGTTGCATTCTGCAGTTAAGGACGACAGGAACCTTATACGTATTGCGTTGAAAAGCGGTGCGGACATATACCCCGTCTATGAAGTCGTGAAATATCTCCGCAATAACCACAACAAGTTCTTTGGCAAGCTCAAAGAACTCGAGGATCATATATACTTTTGCCTTGATGCTGTCAATAAATCCAGAGCTAATCTCCTTGACCAGATCCAACTTCATCAATCTTCTAATTCATGATCGATCAATAGCTTTCTCTTTTCTTCCTATTCACATTTTACGTCAGTGTGGATAGCCGAACACTCCTTTGACTATTGTCAGTAGCCCTTCATTTTAGCTTTGGGCTGTTAGGATCGCATATGCACCTATCAAATAGTTAAGTATCTAATCCTTATGCCTTTAAGAGCTATGGATTGTTAGAAGGTATACTTGGTACTTCAACCTTGTTTTCTTACCCTTATTTGGCTTCAGTGCAAACCAGATCAGATGTGGGTTGCAGGAGGCATTTTACTCTTGATTGTCTGCAGTTGATAGAGTTTGAAGCATCGGTGGCTTTGCTTGGTATGAAAGATGGAACGAAGTGAGGATGGGTAGTTTGCTACACAAATGATTGAAGATTCACCACCACATTTCTATTTTGTACCTAATAACATCATCAGAATAGCTGCAACGAATAGAGTAAAATGGCTGCATATACTCGTAATGAGCTGAGACGTGGTAAGTTTTAGCATCCCAACCATATATGCTGGTCACCGGAAGGATTCGACATACGAACCTTATGACTTATTGGGTGACTATGTATTAGAACATAAACTTGTCTTCGTTTACAATTGGTGTAAACCTTGTGAGGCTTCCATTCTTCACATGTTTGTAAAAAATATACATTATTTGATAGCATGACATTTTTCTTACTTGAATGGAGTTGAGCTTATTAATTTCATCAAATGGGATGCCTTATAAATTTTTCAACATCAAGTTAACCATTATTTAAGTATATTTTTCCCAAATTGAGTAACACTAAACAAAGTCAACGTATGTTTCAAACTCTTTCTTTTCCATTAAAAAATTGACAGTCATATGAGCTAAACATTAACTTATTGACTTCGATATGATATAATCTAATCCCAGAATCGTTTGAGCTGTATTTTACGGATCGACTCTTTGTTTACATTATACCATTGAGTCAGTGCTTGAAACCAACGATGATGTTGGTAGACATCATTAAAATATGATTTTATCATATCTCAATCAACATGTTAATGTCTACCTCATATGACTGCCAATTTCTTAATGAAAAATAATGAATTTGGAACATATGAATAGTCAGGTGACCATTTTGTAACTTTTAATAATTGGAGAACTCATCAAAACAATGTCATATAATGATGGACTATTTTATAACTTTTAATAGTCGTGGAACTCAATAAAACAACGTCCTATTATCGGACACCATTTGTTTATTTTACCCTTTTTGGTTAATAAGAAGTTGACGGGGTCAGCTAATGAGAATTGAGAAATCATCCGATGGGCTTGGTTTAAGTCTTCCATTGACCTGGAATAATGAATCCATACAAGTTTGTGTAGCTGCACTCCATAATTGCTTTCATGGATGGAGTTTCAGTAAACAAGACGACCATCCCAGATTCCTGAGACAAGTGATGACCGAGGTTGTATACAACAAACGTTTGGGCAAATAGCTATACCAAGATGATGTTACTGTAAGTAATCTCTCTCTTTTTCGCCTATTGGATTAGATATTAACATTTTGCTGATCAAGTTATTGATTGTTCATCTCTTTCAACAAAAAATTGAAAAGGTAATTGATTGTTGAATTTCCCAAAAGTAGAATCATGTTATATCAACATGTGCTTTCTCTAGATTTCCTCTTCTTTTGTATTTCCATTCGGGATTTAAAATTTAATTATAAATAAACTTTTTTAAAAAAAATGTTAAATGATTATTATTTTAATATTTCATCTAAAAAATATAATAACACCCAAATAATTATGTGAAATATAAGATCAATTGAAATACAAAAATATATTAAGAGAAAATTAAAATACAATGCATTAAAAAGTATAATTTAATTTGTCTGATCAATTTAAATGATTGTAATCAACTCTAAGAATATATGATTCAATATATACGAATCAATTCACTAGTGATTGCATATTCATCTTACCAATATATCATTTGAAATAGAAAATCCCAAGAGAATTATGTACAAATACTGCGTCAACTAAAGATGTATAAAACCAACCTTTCAATAAATTATTTAAATTATAATAAATAACAACGTTGATTTTCTACTCTTTCCTTCTTTGCTGAGAGAGTGTTTTATACGATACCGTTAGGTATCATCTCCCTCACTGTTTAACAACGTTGATTTTCTACTCTTTCCTTCTTTGCCGAATATATATGATTCACTATATCTTAGATACTGAATCAATCAACAGTTATACAAAGTATGAGGTCTTGCTTTAACTCAATTGTAAAAGTGATTTCTTTTAGTCAGGAAGCAGTTACCAGTTGGAGTTAATCAAAGGGGATAAAATCAAAACTATAGTCATTAATTTTGTTCAACGTACGTGTGGAGTAATAAATTAATTTTTATTATGAAAATTATACATAAAATTAACAAAATACAATCAGACAAGATTTCAAAAACCCTAAGACTAGGAACCAGCTCCTTGCTCTTCTCTTCTCCTTATTCGACAGATGCTGCTTCATAAATAACATCCCTACAAGATCAACTAAATATCATCAGACAAACTTTCAAAAACCAAATGATTGTAAAACTGATAAAATTTAGGGCAAAACTATCACTTGCTCACTCAATTGCCTTTGTCTTCATCATCCCAGCTTTTAAGTTTATCCAGAATGTAAGCATCGATCTCAGAGTTCGACTCTTTCAGGCTCTGATCCCTTTCCCTTACTTGACCCAACATCAATGGAAGTTCTTCCACCCCAAGTTTGGCAATCTGGGTGGCCACCTTTTGCTTCCTTTTCTTATCCTTTTTCTTTTGATCATATCCTTGTTTGGGTTTTCCAACCTAGAAATGAAAAATAAAACAAGAAATAAAGAAAAGAATAGACTTGAATTCACCCCCCCCCCCCAAAAAAAAGGAACTTCATAGTCATTGAAACTACCTCAAACTTGGGTTTCCTCGACCTTGGATGTTTCTTGTGGGAAGCTTTGGGTATAGTTCCTTTAGTTGCAGCCTGAAAAATTCTCGTTTTCTTCCCCTTCTTTGCTAAGTTTTCATCAGTTCTTTTGATTAATAACTTAAAAGAAAGAAAGTGGGAGAGCGAGAAAGAGAGGGAGAGAGAGAAAGTGGCAAGTAAACCCATAGACTTGACACAGAGAATGAAAGTAGATGTGGAGCGAAGAAGAATGAAGAGAAGCTTGCTATCCAAGGCGCTTATTTATAACTGCTGTTCTTTCTCATTGGATCAAGCCCCATAAGAAAGGAACGTAATACGATTCGATTAATTCGTTCGTAATAAAAGTGCATTAATAAACTGTTGACGTGTTTTTTATAAGTATGATTTTAATTCAGAACACCCCATGGACGATGAATTGCCCATTTGAAAAGATGATGTTAACCTTTGCCTTTGTTTTAGGAGGGTGGTGGAAGTAATTGGCCGATTACTAGCGTTAAACATAACAATGCTTCCAAGGTATCGCACGATTCATTGCCATTACAATTAAACTCACCTTCTGGAGCACCCTATATTTTATTATTTACAATCATATCCTCAATAGTTTGGAGGATAATTATCCCTCAAGCTCTAGATTCAAGCACCTTGTCTATAGAATGTTATTGTGTATTACTGACTTTTTCTCACTTTAAAAGATCTTCATGGTTTTTGATTTTTTTATATCAAACACAACAAAAAGAAAAATATATATTACAAATCTTTCTACTTTTCTATCCCTTAATATTTTTCATCATTATAATCTTCCATGGTAACTTGATCCCTAAGAAACCCCTAGAGTCCATCCCTATTCCAATTAATTGGGCTGCCCATGAAGAGCACCAAAAGTAGTTGCATAACCAATTGTTTATAACCCATGCGTCATTCAATTGGCCCGCATGTATAATTGGAACTCAAATTAAAAGTAATTAGACCATTAAATAATTTACTTATCCCTAATCAATTAATGAGGCTTGATAAAAATAAAATTGAACAAAATAATGGCACTTAGATGCTAGTAGGAAAATCATTGTTTCTTATATAACCCAACAGTAAACATCACATATAACTGAGATCTTAAGCTTCGCTTCATTCAGCCTGTTGGACACTATCCTCCAAGCATAAAGACACAGATGCCGAACCTATCACTTTACAAAACCCATACCCATCTTTCTTCGATTCGACGGGCTAAGAAGATTCATCCAAATTAATTGCAGAGATATGAAGCTCATGTTATTTCTCTCATACCTGACCATATGAATATCAGCAACTTGCAAGGAATCTGCAATTAACACCACACTGAGAAGGTCCCAACACAATAAACCTATGAACACTACAAACACCATGACGGTTCATAAACCTTTACTTCATGAAGTTTCCAAAGAGCGCAAATCGACACCATTAACAAGGAAGAACAAGCCATAATCACAAAATACGGACCATGTTTATGTGTTTTATTGACAAACTCTTCTTCCAGTTTGCCCTGGCAAGGAAAGAGATATCCGATGATAGTATTGCTTCGTATTACTCGAAAGTGATGGCCAACCAAAAATAGACAACACACAGTCATTACCTCCTATGAGAATATGAACATAGAAACCACTGAACTTGGAGCTTCCACATACTTCATCTGCTGGAAGACATGACTTCCTCAATTTTCCTAATTACGACACTAAGACTGCCGCCACTCTCCATAGCTTTGACAGCAGCTTGATGATCACGTCTATGCCATTTAAGCAGATTGTAAGACTGTAGCACTGACCATCTTGCTAGATCAATATTAAATCAAGAGAAAAATATCACAAAAGCTTGAAAGGTAAGAGTGCCAAAATGGTACCTGAGCTACAGAGAGGGGGGGGGGGGCGAAGGGGTTTGCAGAAGTACACAGATGCTTCTAAACTAGTTTTCATCATTCTCCCCACCCTCAGCTTCACCATAAACAAGAGCTTCGGCTGCAATGCCGGCAAAAAGTTGCATGCAGTGTCTTCTCAATAAACCATACCACATTATAATTATTTCAGGCTTAGCCTTCATTGAACAGTTGAGCATTAAAAATGAAATCATATTATTGCATAGAAGCCGATTCTGATGATGACTTTATAACCTGTCATAAGTAAGTGCCCATGAACAGAATTAAAGGTCAAGCGGTAATCAGAACCAACATTGTGCTAAAAGCCTAAAACAGTAAAGCGGTAATCAGAGTATTCCACGTGAAACATTTTCAACTGAATTCAGGAAAGACATGCATCAAAAATCAGATAACCGTATAAAATTATGTTCAATGGTTTCACATATGAAAAACAGGAACCAACTTGTTCTACAAACCTGTCAAAGGTGGAGCCACTCAATTGTCCTTCTGCCATTTCATTATTCATTTTTTCATCCCAAAACTGAGTTCCAGCCAGTAAAAATGTGCATAATTTGAGACCATTCAAGTAACACTGACATATGTCCAATTCAAACTAATCAGATTCCTTGAAACATCATCTCAAAGAAAGACGAGGGATTACAAAAGCAGTACATTATCATG